AAAGTGGAATATGCCAAGACTGAGAGAAATACGCCATTAACTGAGTTAAATTAACGATCGCATGAATCCTCTCTGGTTAAATATACCGCTGGCTTAGTGAATAACATTAAATCTGCCAGTGGCTAAGTAAAATACGGTATTAACTGAGGTAAATCTGCCAGTAGCTGAGTGAAAGATTTCAATAAACTAGCTGAGTGAAATCTGCCGGTGGCTGAGGTAAATAATCACTTGTAAACTGCACATGGGCTTTTAGTGACTTAAAACTTCAGACCTACTTAAAGGAACGGTCACAACAGCAAGTAAAGATCTGTGAATGAAAGAGAAGATAATGTTAGCATGTCCAGATCATTACTCCACTCATTGTTTGGGAGTCATTAAGGCTATTGTTATCATTATATAGTTGTGTGGAATCTCTCTGGAGTTGGTTAAGATATACTCCCATCAATATGAAGCAAGACAAGACTGAAAAACCACAATGAAACAACAATTTCTTTTAGCTCTTGCATTGTGAGTAATTGTAATGTAAACAAAGAACAAACCCTGTCAATATGGCGGAATGATCCCATAATTCAGCACGACATGACATACATTCCCATGCCTTATGCTGCACTCGGGTGCTCTTTGGAAAGTTGTATATTCCAGATGGTTAGCTAATAAATATGACCTCATTCCATTCAGGTGCTTGTTCATAGATACGCCCACCACATGGAGAAAAAAAGCATGTATATAATGTATTACATAGGGCATATATATAGAACAAAATACATTTCGGTTAATCTAGCAAATATTGAAAAAGCTAAGCTACACCCGATACTGTTACTGTGCTTTATGGCTCTTTCTGCAAAGCAGAAGGGTACTACTTGTGTGGCAGAACAAACCAACAATATTAAAGCATATATAATATGATGTTCAGGGCTTCTTTGCTTTACTTTAACCTATATTTGGCAGTACAGACATGTAAAAGCAAGAAAACACTGCTTGTAGTTGATAAATGCAAATCTCATAAAATAATACTTTCAAAGAATGAGTGTAAATAAGATTGAGAAAGAAAGGAAGCAAAGAAGGAATGAAGGATGAAAAAGGACCATGAAAAAGGAAGGTAGAAGGAAGGAAGGAAGAAACAAAGGAAAAAAAAGAAAGGAAGGAAAGAAAGATGATTGTGTACTTTCTCTCACAGACAATAACTATATTAAAGTAACCTTTTGTGGAGGTGTCATAAAATTCAAACCAGCTGCACAATCAGTTTATACACTGATATCAGTAAATGTCAGAATTTGAAATCTAAGCTATTCTCTATTTAAATGTATCCACATTACGTAGTTATATATTGTATTGTCACCAAATATAAAAAAAAAAACAAAAATGCATAAATAACTATTTCTGCAAGTGCAGAAATAAATTGCTAGAATCCAAAAACATTCCCTGTGATATCACTGCATGATTGTCATGTTACTGAATGAGGACGATGTAGATCACTGTCAATTAAGGCCATGCGTCACAAACACAAAACCGTGCAGTTTGCACTCTCCACTGAGCACAACTGTTCTGAGATGACCCATCAGCTCTAAAGGATGTGGTGATTGATTTTACGTGTCAGAATTTTGTATGTCATTTTGTCACATTCTCTTGCTGTTTGCATTTTCACTATCTGACTATTGGAATTTCCCCTTTCAACCACAAGCAACTTTTACTGTACACCAATACAAAACAATGGAAAAACAGCTGCCTGTCAAAAGTCAGTTTGAGTGTCTTGAAACTAAATAAAAGATGTTTATGGACTCACAAAAACATCGGTGATTTTCCTAAGTGTAGGGAAATGAATAAGTATGACAACTCTACTACTAACTCTAATCTAAAGGTCCAAGAAGCTCCAAAAGCAGAAATATGTAACAGTTCTTAGATAAATTAAAGTTTAAATTAACTACTATGACGTTCCAATTCATGCTGGCTACATTTCGGTGTCCTGAACTATGTGTGCTGTGAGCTCTCGAACTTTATCCCTTTATCTCCTTACTTAGAAAATGTGTTTAGTCAGTTAACTGCTGAGGCACATGGTTCTGGGCGTGGTGAGGTCTGATATGAGTCATGTCAGTTGTTGTATTAAAAAAACACCCTGTACGCACCACAAACCCAATCAAAGAAGGAAAGCACAGATCTATATTAAACATAGAGTCGTGCAACCAGTGAACTGACTATCTGTCTGGAGGTGCGACAGTTTTATTCAGCAGTTACAGATGTGTGAAAAAGGAACAACCAATGTGTCAAGTGTCTTAGCTAGGAGCTAGGCCACCGCAGACGGCAAGGACAGCTTCAATGCATTTTGGCATAGATTCTCTGGTCCTGCAGCAATCCTCCAAACGATATTCCTTCAAATGGTGTTTTCATGATGGGGATGGAGAATGCTGTGTAAGTGTTCATTGGGGTTGGGAGTTGTTGTGGTTTTTACACCACTGAACTCTCAAATGAGCGTCCATCTTTGTACTAAGTAGTTTATGCACTGCAAGCTTACTGTAAGATCCCTCTGTATGTAGATGTGGACGGACTGGTCTTGCCCACAGTCTGATCACGTTTTGCATTGACTTTCTCAGTCACTTGAGGAACAGTTGCTCTTCTGTTTTTCCATATGTGTTGCACTAATGCATGAGCATCATCATTATCATTATCATCATCATCATGTGCACTTCAGAGCACAATTTTCAACCCATGTTCACTAATATTTTTCCATAGATGTAAATGCAGAAATCACTTTAGTCACTGATCCTGTTTACCTTATTTTTTCAGGTGACCACTGTATTTGGTATTATGGCTGAAATATCTGCTTGGGGAGGGAGGTTGGAATAGCATTTGTGTTTCAGAACTAATCATGCAACATCAGTATTTGACCTCAGATAATGTTGTGGCTAAATGCAATCAAATTCTAACAGTGAAGTACCACCATCTAGTGTAAAGCCTTCGCTGAAGAGTAAAGACTCTTACTGCAGCAAAAAGGAGGCAAACTCCTTTTTAATCCCCTTTATTTCAGAGGGAAAAAAATCGACTGTGCGGCGCATAAATGGTCAGTTTTCTGGACGCGGATTAAGCCTTATTTTAGAATACAGAGCAGTGTCAACGGTAAATTGCCACTGGAAATTCTTTTCAGTCTGGGCTTAATCCTGGTCAGGGAAGCCCCTATTGTACCAAAGTCCATTGTAACCTATTTATCGATTTATGAACAGCGCCATCTAGCGACGATGCTGTGCAGTGCACGTTGCGACCGGAAGTATTATGTAACCACGAAGCACGAATCCTCAGTTTAAATTCACTGTTTCCTGCAAAGTATCTATATATGTTTGAGTATTTAAAGGGCATTATATTGTGAATATAATTTAGATATAATGTATGTGCAGCCAAATGCATTATCTATGGGCCTAACCCATTTAATATACATATATTTGATATATAATTACAGGTATAAATTAGTCCAAATGTATAGATTAATCTCAGGTCTATTATGCTTTTATTGCTTTCTCAAGTTGCCAACATGCAAAAGCATGCATTTTACTAGTACAGACATATATAGTCATATATACATCTTTTCCATGTTTTCCTTTTGAATGTGGTACATCATCCACACCCTGAATAGATTTACGCATAAAATACAAAACGCGCAATTTCTTGTATAACACTGCAACAAAAGGCGCTGGCCTTAAGATTGCATAGGCTGAATCACTGTCATGGTTTTTAGGGCGACACGTCATTAGGATATCCTTCGCATCGCTCTCGACGCTTCTGCAGATGCAGATGTTGCGTAGGTGCTCCCCAAGCAGAGCTGCTTTGCCATCAGATCTTTTGCGCTTGTGGGCCGGGCGCACAAACGTGTTTTACAGACGACGTTCGTCATATTCAAAACGGAGCGTCTTCTCATTTCTGAGGACAAAGGAGGGAAGGGTGGGGTGCTGGGGGTGGGTGCATTCCTTTATTCCGACTTGTAAACACGAAGCTAAAGTCAGCTTCTTGTTCGAATTCTCCCGTTCCACCTTATACGGTGCAGCAGTTACATTATAACGCCTCAGGCGCCCGAAGATAACTACTGCACCATTTAAGGTGGAACGGAAAGATTCGAACAAAAACTGACTTTGACAGCCTCATCTTGTGAACAACCTCACACGTTAATTCCGTGCCCAATCCATGACGTTTCAGCCTTTTCTAAATGTCCTGTCCGAAAAGACAATGCGTCCCTGCGCACAGTGCGCACGCAGCCTGCAAAACCCATAGCCGCTGCAAAGGGCGCTCACACACACAAGGCGTGAGACACACACACACACACACATAAACACACACTCGCGCGCGCACACACCCAGAGGACAAATGGTCTCCACTAATGCGCCAAGCGCGCTCTAAAGAGCTCGAGCTTTAGCTTGCTTGCGCGGGTTGGAACGAGTAGCCACATCGAGAGAAGACGACATTTTTTTTTTGACTTTGCTTCACAGGCAAAGAAATCCAAAATGGCCTGGTATGAACTGATCTCGAACAACAAGCAAGAGAAAAAATCATGATATAAACGCCAGAGTCGCCAGTGAAAATGCGCTCTCTCAGCCGGTGAGCTTGTGAAAGCGAGCATGCGCCACGCACTCGCTCTCCCGTGCCTTTTCTTTCTTTTTCTAAGGGGTAGAGGAGCGACACACAGAAATCACCACAATTGTAGGTAAAGTCTGCTACTTTTTGCTCATTTTAAGCATCAATAAATGGTTTTTCGATTGTTGGAATGCGTTGTTTTTTGCAGACAAGATGGCGCCGGGCAGTCAGGTGACCTTGTGTGAGTGTGTGTTGTTGTGTGCGTGCGCGCGCGCGCGCCTGTGTTTTCCCTCCTTACCAACAATACCCGCGGAAGTGAAGGGTTCCCTCCTTAAACGCTGTTGGCTGGTTTGAACTGTGTAGGGCGCATCGGGGGCTGCTGGTTGGAGCGAGCAGTGTAGCAGTGTAGCAGTCAAACGCATGTGACAAAGTGTTTTTTAAGAAGAAGAGGGGGTGGGGGTGCCGTAGTGCCACAGAGAGCTCATAAACACCAATAGTTTTAATAAGCAGGCAACTCTGATCACTAAGCTCAGTGTAACTAATATACTGCATTTCCAGCTCACAGTTCTCAGGACTATGTTGATTTGATCAGCCCGCGTCGAGGCTTAAGGCTGCTTGTGTTGACACCACAGTTGCAGTTTACGCCATGAGGATTTGATCAGCTCGGATAATAAGTTTATGACCACATGGGTAGAAGACATAAGTACTGATGCAAGTCTGTGTTTTATCTCGCTTTGCAATGTGTGTAGCTCTAAAGAAAGAGGACGTCTCCGAAAAGTGATCTGAGGTGGACTAGTTTAGTGAAACTGCTGCTTTAACCATTTCACCATTGTGCAGTGCTTAGGCTTGCAAGGGGGGAGGGGTTCTTTTATCCTTATGGTGGACCATATAGACCATATATCTGCTTTTGTGGTCTGTGAGGACTCATTTCTTTGGAAATATAGGTTAGGCGACTTGCGGCAAGTTGTTATGATCCGTTCACCTGCTTTGGTTCCATGAAGCAAATACTCAAGCATTCACATGACGCTGCGTTAATCCACTTTATTGCAAAATCGTATTCGGATCCCTGTGCCGATGATGTGTTTACGCTCTGTCAGGTTGATCTACTCGCACAGACCAAACTACGCCTTCGTTCAGTTTGCAGTCTCTGGCGCCTTCAACACTTCGGATGATTTTATCGCATAGATGTCACCCTAAAACAGCCTTACGGGGTCAACCAAACCCTCCCGGTAACCCCACCCAGTCTCAGCTCTGCCCCTCATTGGTCGAGCAGCTTGCTCTAGGCACGTTCACATTTTATTGGGCGACTTCTATTGGCTTGTGGTGACGACAATCCCACACCCAACTCCCACCTCCTGAGGCATCAAGTTTGGGAGACCGGGGCAGCTCTAGTTTGTAAAAGGGGCTATAGCTCAATGTGCAGCAGAGACTCCTAAGTCTTACTGGGTTCTGTTTTTTAAAAAAAGAAAAAAAATAATAAGAAAAAAAATAAGTAAGCCCGTCATTCACAATCGCCTCGCAAGATGGATATGAAGAAGAGAATTCATCTGGAGTTGCGAAACCGGACGCCGTCAGACGTAAGCAGCTCTTTTTGTATGACTATAGTAGAAGCTGGGAGATTTTTAGTGTAAAACGCGGTCAGGCTGTGAGCCGGGGGTCGACGGACAGCGCTGGATGTGCACGCGTCAAGTTCTAGTGTCTTGAATGAAAAGTTTTGAGGCGACTTCGTTATGGGGGGCTACAGCCCTGCTGAACGTCCAGCCCGCTGTGTTTACATGCGGAGTTTCACAGTTTCGTTGCTTTTCCCAACTTTTTTTTTTTTTTACCAAGAGGCGCTTTGATCGATGCCCCGGTAACACGCGTTATGCAGCTCGTGTATAAACAAGGGGAAAGAGGGGGAGAGAGAGAGAGAGAGAGAGAGAGAGAGTGTGAGAAGCCATATTTGTAACTTTAGTCCCGAACGCGCCCTTTTTCCTTCGCATCTCTACAGCGCTGCAAAAAAGTAGCCAAAATTAAAGCCTTTCCGTCTCTCACACCTTCAGCTTATTCATGTATGAATCTACAGCAGCGCTTGTCCGTTTCTGAGTGGCCTAACTTGTGGGACCAATTTGAATCGCTCTGTAGACATCTGACTGTCAGCCTTAATGACGACCTGATCAAGTCAACACATTCTGGGGATTTTTTTTTAAATTAGTATTATAAGTGGAATTTATCTAAATGATCTAATCTAACCGGGCTGCATCAAACCTGACCGCCTCCCTTTCAAACCTGTTCTTTTTTCCTTCTGCTTACACCATTCGGCTTTTATGTGTGATGATGTGGAGTGAACAACCACGCGATCGCCGTTCAGTTTTTGGTGTCGTCGCCTCTCCAGTTGCGTAAAAGGCGCCCAAACGCAATTAAAACTGCATTATGTCGACGATACCGATTGCAAAATGACGCGTAACGGCCACCAAAACGGCACTCGCGAATATATGATCGACGTTTTCGGTGAATCGTCAGCCTCCTCGTGTTCCCTGAAATGTGCACTTCGTTTTCAGTTCAGCCAGATGCCAAAAGTCCCTGACATTGTGCCTCTATAGCTACGTTTCCAAAAACAGCCCGTGCTGTAAATGTAATTAGACAAGTAACGTTAATAGCGGTCATTTTTCCCCCTCCAATCCAAGCACGCCCGGTCTGAAGGGGAAACGAATATGATCAGGCTGTTTTGAGACGCGTGGCTGGCTCTCCGTGTTATTTACACAGGGCTGAGTGTTTTATGCGAGGTCTCTACGCAACTCGGAGCGGCGCTGCTCTAGTTCACAGATCTAGGACAAGCCGCCATTTTAACCAGCAACAAAGGCGCACGGCGTTTAACCGAGCTATTTACCAGCACCGGGGTCCGAGCGACCTGATAAGGCTGCGGTTGGATGTGAGAAAGAACCGCTAGAAGCAGTTTCCTATTTTCGAAATCCGCTTTAATCGTGTGTCAGTAAAGTCCTTTAGGCTCGGTAACGTTAGCATTCAGGCTATCACGCGTTACCTGCCCCTCCTACTCCTCAAGTCTCCGCTCCGTGTATTCTTCGCACGAGGCTGAAGTTTGCTTAATATCCACCAGCTTCTTGTTCGAATTTTCCCGTTCCACCTTAAATGGTGCAGCAGTTACATCAGGCGCCGGAAATAACTGCTGCACAGTTTAAGGTGGAACTGGGAAATTCGAACAACAAGCTGACTTCAGCTGCGTTGTCTTCGGGCTCCCAGGACAACGTAATGCGCCGCAATTCGAGAGACTCGTAACCTGGCCCATGTTTACACACCCCACTCTATTTTATTAAACTCGCTTTTCTTTCGTTGTTGATATTAAAATACTCTGCTGCTGGAAGCGAAGCAGCGCCGCTCGTTGCGGAGTCAGCCATTTTGTTTCTGTTGGGGGGAAAACAGTGGGAGTCATAAAAATGTGGAGCTTGTTTTAGCGTTTGGATGTTCGTGCGGAAGACCGTTCCCGCCAGGTAGAGGACAGAAAGTCGCCTGTTGTTTCATTCGGTGTTTCTGGCAGCAGTGTGTCAAAATATCGATTTAGTATCTCGGGATAATTACGTTATTGTTTTCAAATAGACTTATGTTCCCCAGATGTGGCTTTAACAAGAACAATGACCAACGTACCTCGAATTATTGACCTTATGTTGAATTAATTATAGTTTTGGGATTTTGATAAAGTTATAAGTCGTCATTCATTAGCAGTCATTATTTTGACATAAGTCGGTATTTTGAGAAGATGAGTCATTATTTCGACATAGTATTTTGAGAAGATATGTTCGGACATGATTGTATTTAACCTATGAATACAGGAACCTAAATGCTAGCTAGGTGCAGTGACCTCATAGGTGGAATGATGCTCGATTAGTTTGGCCTACGTGTTAATGTTATATATTTCTTCAATGTATATTTGGCGTACGTTCACATTCTGTGACTGTGGCTATAAATTTTGACGTGGAATAGATGGCATAATTCTCAGATTTAAACACATTATCTAATCTGCCTATCCTTCTGGGTCGCGGGTGTGCTGGAGCCTGTCCCAGCGGTCATTGGGCAGAAGGCAGGAAACACCCTGGACAGGTCATTGTCTATTTGATTATATCATAAATATTGGACAGTATGCTTATAGCAGGTGTTGGGGAAAACTTAAGAGAATCTCGTTTAGTCCCACACCCTTACCACAAAGGGTTTTATATAGTGCCAAAGAAAAGGTTCAGTAGATAAGTCCTTTTGGGTGAAGTGTGTGTGTGTGTGTGTGTGTGTGTGTGTGTGTATGTATGTATGTGTATGTATGTGTATATATATAGAGAGAGAGAGAGAGAGGGAGAGAGAGGAGAGAGGGGGGGGGCAGAACCATTTATGCATTTAAAGGGCTCTTTTAGTTGTCAAAGTTATAAATATACAACTGTTACCTTTAGGAAAGAACCCTTGAAGAACCTATTTTTAAAGGGTGTAGACATTAAGTCATATTTGAAATGAGTGTGACTGTGAGCTATTTGTCCTATTCCTGAAATTCAGCTCCTGAGAAACAAAACAAGGTTTTCTCACTTTCAACAAAGTATCGCCTCACACATGACTTAATTCTAGTGTCTGACCCATCAAGCTTAGCTGAAAAATATTTGCATAAGGAAAGCGATCATCATTTTCTTTCATAACCGTGTAGAAGGAGACTTTATGCTTTCTTCATCTGTCTTCAGAAATGATTACAATGAAATACTTCTGTAAATCTCTTTTTTTTCTAATGGGAGTGTTGGAGAACATTCTGAAATAGATGACCCTTCATTAGTGCAATACTGAGATCTACTGTATTTCCTCTGAGACAAAGAGAAGTTGATCTTAAAGGCATTTTTTTTTTTTTGCTTTTGAGTTACCTTCAATGAAGTGCAGACACAGCATTTGCTGCCATTCATGCAAGCTACACTCTGAGTCAAAAGCTGGAAACAGCGGTGATGTGGCTCAATTTAAGCTTGCAACATGAACCCAGTGCTGCTCCACACAAAGCACCTCCTGCTTCATTGGGAGTTGCAGTGATGGAGACTGGTACAAAAGCTAAGCGCAAGCTCAAAAAATCATACGATTTTATTCCCTAACTCATGTGCCATGTCTTTTTTTTCCCTCTTAGGTGAAAGAACTTGTACTCGACAACTGTCGGTCAAATGAAGGCAAAATTGAAGGCCTTACAGATGAGTTTGAGGAACTGGAATTTTTAAGCACAATCAATGTAGGCTTAACTTCAGTCGCCAACTTACCCAAGCTCAACAAACTCAAAAAGGTATGGATATGTGTATATACACACACACACACACACACACACACACACACACACACACACACACACACACACTTTTTTCATATATATAATTTATTTTTTACTGTGTTTTTGAATAAAAAATTTGCTTACTATAGCTGGAGCTCAGCGATAACAGAATCTCAGGTGGTTTGGAGGTCTTGGCAGAGAAATGTCCCAACCTCACCCATCTCAACCTCAGTGGCAACAAAATCAAAGACCTCAGTACCATCGAACCCCTGGTGAGTCTTAAGGTTATGGAGGTGATGCGCTATGATGGAAACCAGATGTAATAGGCTACTCTGTGACTTTTGGAGTTGTGTGAGCACTGGGAAAGCAATTCATAGTCATAAGGAGAAGTTTGATTTCCACAAGGTACACCAAAAAATAAACATTACCTGTAACATTCCAGCAGCACCCGTCTTCATGTACCTACCATGTGGATATTGGCATTAGTGCCCTGTCCTGATCCTGTAAAAAAAGGTCATCAGACATAAGTTCCCACTTCTGTGTTAGATTCTGTCTTCCTTTCTTTTTGATATTTCTACACAAGGCTGACAATAACAGGGTTCTCCAACAGAGATGAGTTAAAGAATCCCGAAATAGTTTTACTTGGTGTTTGTCATTTAAAAGTGTACTAAGAGTACATTTAGTATCATTAGCAAGAAAGACTTTGGTTGGATGCATTCCAGGCACAGTCTTGAAATATGAGCAATACAAAAATAATTTAAAAATGTTCAGCTAAGTAATGTAAATGGAGCAAAATAATATAAGCCAAGCTCTGGTGTTTTAAAAAGGTTTATGAATCATGCAGTTAAATCAAAGTTTATTGCTGGTTTTCAGTGTATTTTATTTATTTGCACTATTTTAATGTTACACCATATGATGGCATAGTTGTAATATATGTTATGTACACTACTTTTCAAAAATTTGGGACCACTGTTCAAAAGTCTGGCATCAAATTCCAAATTTGTTTGAACATACATGTATAAAATTATTCTAATATGCAAGTCCTGTACAACAAGATGTGTCTAGAATGATGAGTAGAGATGTAAAAGGCTGTATAATTTTGAGCAATAATTTAAAAGTATATATACATCCAGAATTCTTCATATCTCGTAAGTGCTGATCAAATCTCTAGGTAGATGGAGTGACAAAAATGAACATAGAGATATTTCTAATATGATTGAATGACTTTGTTAATAGAATTCTTGAATATTGACTAATATGGGTAAAATACCCTTTAGCAAATCGTTTGGTACTATTGTATTATGAATTAGAATTTTATATAAAACAACAAATTGGTTAATATGACAAGTGATTCCAAGCTTTTGAAGGAATTAAAGTATAATATAAATATTTGAATTGATTTTGTTCTTCTAACTGGTGACACTTGCTTTATGTTTCAACAGAAAAAATTGGAAAGCCTCAAAAGTTTAGACTTGTTCAACTGCGAGGTGACAAACCTGAACGACTACAGAGAAAACGTCTTTAAGCTGCTGCCTCAGTTGACGTATCTTGATGGCTATGACAAAGAGGATAAAGAGGCACCTGACTCTGATGCAGAGGCCTATGTTGAGGGACTGGATGACGATGAAGATGATGAAGACGGTACTGGTTTTAACATGTATAACTCCTGTTAATATAAACTTCATTTGTACATACACACATGTCATACAGATATATATTCAGGTGTATGTCCAGATAGAGGAAAGTTTTCTGCAGACTTGGTTTCAAAGTGTGTTTCCTTTAACCACTTATCGCAAATTCTGAATGTCAGGACCTGTTAATAACACGACTGACTATTTGTGCCTGTAGAAGTAGAAGAGGAGGACTATGATGAAGATGCAGCCCCAGGAGATGAAGATGAAGAAGAGGGTGAGGATGAGGATGAGGAGGAAGGTGAAGAGGAAGAGGAAGAAGATGTCAGTGGAGAGGTGAATGCTGCATAAAATCAGCTCGGCAGAAATCCAGAACTTTTGTCTGCATGTTTGACGGCATATTTTAAAGAAAGGAGAGAGCTGTGAAATTGTTAATTGGAACGGAAGCTGTACCATTTTGTCTCACACAATTTTTTTTTATATCATAGGAAGAGGAGGAAGAAGACTTAAATGACGGAGAAGTTGATGATGAGGAAGACTATGGTAAGTGCATGATCTGTTTTAGCTGCAGCTGAAAATGATCAGAGCTTGTGTAGGACAGCTTATATTCAGTGCCTTATTTTTTTTTATAACATGTAAATTGCAGTATGTTGTTTGTTTGTTGGAGAATGTAGTTTGAATCTGAATGACCAATACTATGATGGAACTTTTTGTTTTAGCATATGAGTGACCATCAAGAACAATTTGAATATTTATTTATTTATTTATTTATTTATTTATTTATTTATTTGCACATTTAATCTGTATGTGGTGGTATGCAAAGTTTGGATGCCCCTGGGAAAATGTTTTATTGATTTTCTAAGTAAAAACAAGTTAACATATCCTCTATAGGGAATACACTTCTAAACATTTTAATGCCCATTTAGTGTTTATTTGCTAAAGTTAACATATTGGAAAATAAAATAAAACGTTCAATTTATGTTTTGTAAAATGTTGATGTTGATTTATGTTAAACGTGGTAAATAAATATAAATTGTGCCCTAGAATTTGGAGAAAAAAAGTGGAATGTTTTTTTTTTTTGTTTTGTTTTGTTTTTTTTTGTTTTTTTTCCCTCTTGTGGAGGGTGTGTTAAGTTATGTTTACTCAGAAAATCATCAAAACATGTAATTTGACATAACAAGTGGCTGCATGATTTTGTTTGGAATGATAATTTAAAACGGAGTGGGAGTGTTCTATATAAATATATATAGAAAATATGCAGATGAATTAAATGTTATTCCCTATTGTTTCAGAAGAGGAGAGGGGTCAGAAGAGGAAAAGGGAGCTGGATGAAGAAGGAGAGGAGGATGATGACTGAACATGCACTCTTGGGTCCCCTTTGTGATCTGACTGTTTTAACCCTCTATTTCTATGTCCTAATGTTGTTTTGCGGTGGTATGGGAAGGTATGCAAATGGTAGGGGTGGGTTAGTAAACAGACAAGAACACAGTTTAAATATTAGGGTTTTTGTTTTGTTTTGAATTTATTTTTTTGTTTTGTTTTTTGTTTTGTTTTTTTACCTTAGGTTTGAACCCCTTCTTTTTCTCCAAAACCTCTACAGATGGCTGGCAACACAGTAGTGGAAATTTCCTATTGTTAGAAAATTTGTAATTTTTATTTTCTCTTTACTGTTGATGCCTAAATGCTTATACAGATTGCTGGGTATGACTTATGTATTTAAAAGACAAAAAATACCAAAAACCTTTTAAAACAGCATGTCTGGCTCTATTTTAAAGTTGACTACTGGATTTCAAGAGCGAGCGTTTTCTTACCCACTTTTTTATCACATCTTTTATTTGTGTACATCGCGTCTCTTTAGTGTCGTCATCATCATGTGACGTGCTGTTCAGGCGTGGAGGAGACGTCGTAAGATCTGCTTGAACATGCACAGTACAACCTCTCAATGTGATTTATATTTTTATTTTATTTTTATTTTAATGTTTAGCGCTGAATGTCTGCCCTTGTCAAATGACTCCTAAACCCCTTCTCCTCCTCGCGTGGGTAGTTCAGAGGTTTCGTGTTCTTTGTAAATAATGACCAAATATATTTTTTTCTATTCCCTTTGATAATGGCAGACATTTTCACAATTAATCTCAGTTGTAACCATTAACTGTAATAAAATGAATGAAAACACATGCAGCTGTAACGTAATTTTGGGAATCGGTGTTCAAAAAGGAATGTACTGATTTCATGTTCACAGTGAACTGAGCATGTGATTTATCCATATAGGTCATTAGTTAGCACATTATTTAATGTGTGAATCTTGCGCAAGTGTTTATGGTCTCACCACTGATGAATTTTAGATTTCCATCAAATTCAGTCTCGTTGAAATTGTATTTGTAAGCTCAGGGAAAGGAAATTAGCTTGTATTTTTGTGACTTTTTTTCTTTTTTCTTTTTTTTTCTTTTTTTTGTGTCTGGATATTTTTGTAAATATTCAGAGATGCTATCAGTTATTTAAGCGAAAGGCATTCTGAGCTGTGTTTGGTGGTTCTAAATTCTACGCTTTTTTGTTTCTTTGTTTTTTATTATTAAAATCAAGAAATTTTAGATGTGACTGAGACAGAAGTCAACGTTCTTGTTGGAGCAGAGCTATTTTGAGGTGCCTTTGAGACAGTATTCATGAATGCTTCACTGCCTGTTGGTAACGAGGAGTGTTGCATGTTCTTTTTTTTCCCCCTCCCAGGTAGAATCTTTTCAGGAGTCTCCATGTGTCTGCCCTCTGAGACAAGCAGTTCAGACAGGTTGCACGTAATTACACTGATATCCCACAATGTGTGTCATTTCTGTTATTAAACCATGTCAAATGAGAGGCTAGTATTTTGCACTCAGTAAGAGGGATAATAACAAAACGAGGTCAGTATAATATTCCAGGAGCCTTCCTGCTGCATGGATATAGGTGAATTAAGCCCAGTTTTGGGCTGGTTGATGCTGATGTCACCAAGTGGAGAGTCTTGGTGCTGCATATGTATAAAAACCTTAAGATCCATTCCTTGTATCTGCTTGTTACAAGTATCAAAACACTTGTTGGTTAGTGTACATTTCAAACAGCCCCGCATTCCTTTTGATTGTCAACTGTAACAGAGGTGAAAATTTTCATCTGTGGTTAAAAGATTTGCATAAGAAGTGTACTTGCATATGTGCACTGCTCTAGTACTACATGTTCACCTATAGCCCAGTTGGCTATCTTGGCCAACTTTCTATATATCAGTAAGTCAAGTGCAGCACAGAATGCTAATTATACATTAGCCAGAGGTGGATACTGTAGCCTCAACCCATGCCCAAGTAAAAGTGTTACTCAGCAAAGCTAGGTTTGAGAGTACCAAGTGCAAAAGTACAGAGTAATTTCAAGAACTACAGCAGAACTTCTTGGCACATCCAGCCTCTATCAGTGTAGGAACTGAAGCTTGTTAGGTACTTTTTGGGGATCTTTTTGCCTGAAATGACCTGAAGCACCAAAGTGAGAGGTTTGAGCATAATAAAGCTGTACATGTGCTAAAACAGCAGAATAGAATGAAATCAAACCCCCAAAAAGAAATAGGAAACTCAATGTGAGGGGCTGAAGGGTGACTAAGTAGAAAGTAGATTACTTTCTTCACAAAAATAGAAAAGTGGAAACCCCCCATTAAATGATCACAGGCCTACTCACCAGCCATTCTGTCAAGTACACCTACCATACATGTGCCTTTCTAGTATTAGAGTTACTGATTATAGCCCAACTGTTGCTTCACAAAAGCCCCCCCTACTTTGTCCAACAATGGTAAAAGACCACCGCTGACCATTTATTATTTGGGTGTTGGACCATTCACAGCAAGACAGTGATACCAAAATGGCAGTGGCATGTTAGTGTATGCTGCAGTAGTGTGACTATATCAGGCATGCCAGTGTTCCTGGGGTATTTATACACGTCACTGCTGGGTTAAGAATAGTCCACCAACCACAAATATCCAGCCAACAGTGGTCCTGTGGTCAGAAACTGACCACTCACTAAGGGCTAGGGGATGATTAACATAAACTGTGCATGTAAAAGAAAGGATACACCTGGCCTGTGATGTTCCTTTTACATTGGTGGATGGAGCAGAGCGGGGTTAATAAGTTGTGCAGCAATAAATAGATGGGCTACAGTAACTGTAGACCTACAATGTGCACCTAATAAACTGTAGGAGTAAATGTGTTAGCCTTTCAAAATACTGTAGAAAGGACAAATCCATCAAAATTACTGAAAAAGGAGATAAATGTGTTGGTATGTACGTGCTCAAGGAGAAATAAGTCAAGACCTCAAAGAGGGTTAGACTTGTTTTATGAGACAAATTATATAGCTTGAAGAATCTATTTCTAATGTAATAGTAACAGCAAGAGGATGGTATACTCCCATAGTCCTCAGCCATCCTGTTTTCTGTGCCGGTCCAGAGATTTGAAGCTGCAGATGTGGATCTGGCTATGAAGGAAGTGATTAGTACAGGTTACAGCTGAGACATTTGACAACAAAGTCACACACTGCTCACATACTGAGAAATACCTTTTAGTTATATCAGTTGGTTCTCCACTGGACATTCAGTTCACTTTTCAGTGCTTCTCAAGTCACTCCTGCAGTGTTGCTACTAAAGATAAAGACTCTGACAGAAATATCTAGCAGGGAGCTTTGCTTGCAGGTCATTATCAGCATGAATATGGTCACCGGAGGTCATTATGGCAACTTAAATGCCAGTTGTTAGTGTAGCTTATTACTCACATTAGTTCACCTTTTGAAATATCAAAAAAGACACTGATTAACTTGCATAAAATGCAATTCAATTCTAAGATACAGCAATTAAAGGAGAAAATCCACAGATTTTTCTGAAGTTATACATAATTCAACCGTTGAGATGTAAACAAAGAGTGTTTTGATGTGGCATGGTGCATTGTAGAGAAACACTTTTCACCATTCTGATTTGTCTTACAGTGGTGGGGATAGGAACCAGGGGTCACAATGTCTACAACATGAATATAGCCATTTTGTTTACTATCCAAAATGGCCAGTGGACAGACACGTCTTCTGAGGTTTCATACGTAATGTTGAAAATGGGAAAATCTGAAAAAAAACCTTTTTGGGTACCATTCCATCTTATAACGCCCTGCAGGTACCTCTCCACCATGGATGTATTTTCTAAAAATACATTTTAGGCCAAAATCTTATCTCACCTATTGTAAAATGGTATCTCGAACATCAGACAAACTTTCTGTTGTCCTATAATGTAATAGCTTTCTGTAATGTAGCTTTCAGTAGCATTACATTCTTCGGATGTCCAGTTCCTATCACCACCACTTTGAACAATTCTGAACAAGCAAGAGTCCCTACAACTGTGCATTTCACATCAAGCCACTCTGAATGACTTTGCTTACAATAGTTTAATTATGCAGTGGAGTTCCTCAATTATGTGTCAGAAAGTCAAAGTACAGTTAGAGCAAAACTAGTAGAGTCCCTTCATACTTTGATGAAACAATAGAAACATCCCAAAGATGCACTTGTCAAAAGGATGCTTGGGTCAATAAGCAATTCCAGATGGTATGAGTAGATTTAAAACTGCCCTGCTGTATAGCCTACATTAAACACAATCCTAAAAATGAAGCATCACATTTACTTCAACTTACTGTGGCCTCTAGAGTAAAATAGTCCACCATGCTGAACACTCATTCCTTCCTCTTACTTTTCTCTTCAGACTTCTGTTTGCAACAAGCAGTGCCCTAAAACACTTTTATTGCTACCACTTTGTTTACTGGGATTCATTGGGGGACCGTACAATTCATGCGTTTCAGATTAGATGGTGTTACTTTGCATAAGAAGGTGATTATACTTCTCAAAGCTCATTTTAGAGACTTTCAAACACGTTCAGTTCAACACTCTTCAACTTTGTACAATTAATGTGATGTTGGCTGTATTCTAACTGAGTTCCTACATTGTGGCTTTATTGTGCTGAATGTATTCTACACGAACTTGGCACTGCTATACAGTCAAAAACAGTCCTGAACCTCCTTTCGACATTCCAGTTAAAGATACAATAAGCAGATTTTATGTTTCGCATATCAGTTGCTCCTTGGTTGCAACAACAGAATAGCGAGTCATTTTAAGTTGCAACTCTTTCTTAGCCAGTATGAGACCATAGCACACTGCCTAGCAACTTTTAGATATTCAAGGACAATTTCACAGCTTTTAAGTAAATCAGAATTATTGTACCTTAAAAGGAATCGTTTGGTTAAAAAAATGTAATTTACAACATTTTCCACAGATGTACTGTAGCCAGTGTTTGTGGTTCAAATTGTGTTTATTAAATCTAGAGCTAGCGCCAAAAGGCTAATGTTGCTATTAAACACTGAAAGTCAATAGTCACCTTAATCTTTTCTGTAAATACATCCTCAAAACTTCTCTTAACTTGCTCAAGTTTCGCAGACTTATAGGTGTACACATGATGATTTACTGGGAGCTATAAAAATGAACAAAACTTCACCGTATAGCTGAACACTGTGGGCTATCAGAAATTGCGAAACTAATATGCTTGCATTTTTTAGTTTACAGTATGTCATGCTGTGTCCTAAACCAAATCCACAAGTCTGCATGATCTTAATGAAGACCTGGCCACAGTTCGAGTGAGTTGAGAGAAGTTTTGGGTATGTTTTTACGAAAAAGATTTGGGTGACTATTGACTTCTAGTGTTCGTTAACAACATCAGTACCATAGCTCTAGCGCAAAAGAAAAATTGAGACACCAAACATGTCTTGGCTGAAAGACCACATCTGGGGTAAGTAAAAAAAAATGTGTAAATTAGATTTTTTGCCAAACCATTTCTTTAAAATATGATGAAAATGACAAGACAGGTGAAGTGAGTTTATAAGACATATTTGGTAACTAGCTCTACATCTGTGGTTATAAAGATGAGATGAGTGCCATTAATCAGAATGACTAATTGCAGAAAACATATAACAAAATAAATAATTACAATTAGAAATTCATAAAAAGAAAACACCAAAAGTAGATGATAACACAGTTAATGGCTTGTATCAAATCATCTATCAAAGCCATTCCAATCCAGCGCTGCGAGTCTGGCAGCTGACACATTCGAAAGAGAGAAGAAATAGGAAAAAATGTGAGAGAGAGTATGTGTGAAAATGAGAGAATACAATTAATAGATAATTAATAAAGAACTAAGGAAGAAAGAAGCCCTGCATGTGTATTATACATAACTTATTTCATGTCTCGTCCCTTTAAACTACTTTCCCTGTCGTTTGTATGTATACATGAGCTTTGTATCCATAGTGCCGGTCAAATGGCAGTCAACGTAGGCCATAGGTGTGAGGAGGTTTTAGTGAGGGACTGACCAATGCCCCAGTAAAGTCTCATGCTGGCACAGCAATAAAGGCATCAACAGTTGGGGTCAGGGCAAGACGCTGCTCAGTGGGGGACAAACGCTCTGCATTGTGTAATAGGGATGAGGGATACCAGGGTGTAGGAGTGGGGGGACCGTGTGGAAATTCAGCATTGCTGGGGGTCCAATGTGTGTGTTTCAACCAGAAGAACCAGCGGCCTGCGCCCAGGTCACATGCTGTTGTCGTCATTGTTGTTGTTGTTGTTGCGGTTGTTGATGTTTGGACTGTTTCTCAGGTTATTTAGCTCTAGCTCGAGCTGTCGGATTTTAATGTCCTTCTGAGAGAGCTCGTCTTTCAGCCGCCGCAGCTCGTCCTGCTGCCTGAAGAACATCCGCAAGAGCTGCAGAGCGGAATATAGTGGGTGATTACAAAGAGACATTTAAATGGGCATTCTTTAAAGAGGTTCTTTAAAGGAGCATTCCGGCCTAGAACTAGCATTCAACATGCTATTTGTTATGTTATGTAATATTTCATTGGTTTTGTTCTCTCACTACAATACCCATGTGTTACGCAAATGCAGCACACACTGAGGATAATAAATACACCTGCTAGCTTGCAGTAGTTATTTAGCACTAACTTTGACTGTCAACTTTGTGGTCAAACTCCTTTCTTTCTTTTAAAAATCTACTTTCACCTTCAAGATACATCATCAGAAGAGGACTTTCCGAATCTTCAAACAATGAAATCTCATTTTAGAGACCACTGCAGAACTACAAATATAGCAATGTTTGCATTTTTTATTTTGGCCAGAGTGCCCCTTTAAGGGGTTAACCCTCACAGAGCCTATATACATACACACTCCCACACATTGCAGTGCCTTTTCATTATAGGAATGTAATTAGCCTTATTAATTTCATTCATGCAGAGCGCATCACCTCGTTCTCTGTGCGGGGAGGCACATTTTCCAGTAGGTCAATCCCATTCACCACCACACTCTTCTTCTCTTTCACTGGGGCCTTGAATACCAGCTTGCTAGGTCTGCTGTAGCCCTCCTTCAGAGACATTAGCACCGGCCCTGCAGTCGGACATACATATCACCACTCCTGATCATGTGTAAAGCAACAATTCACACAATTTCAGTCTTACCCCAAATATAGTCATTCAGTCAAGACATATTTGATCTCTGAAGTTAGCTTTGTTAGTTTTAGATTAAATCTACGAAACAAGTCTGGCTAACAAGTTAGCGTTCTGTCAAATGCATGTCTGTTTAATCACATATTTGCCTCAAACCATATCTATTTTTTTAAGGATTCTCAAATAAACTTGCTGACATGGTTTCTTAAACTGATGACTGATGACTGTCTAAAAATGGACAAAAGTGTGTTTGTAGCTAAAAACAACAGCAGCAGCCATCTTGAAGCCTGAATGTCTGACTGTGCAAATGGGCAGCTTCTATTACTTGTTTGCTACATTAGCTACATTAGCCTCATGGCCCCCAGTGCAAAACTAAAGAAGTGCATTTCAGATACGAAACATGTCTTGGTTGCTAGATTTACTAGTTCCAGTAATTTCGGATTACCCGGCCCTTTATTAAACCTAGTCTTGTACTAAATTGCAGTATTAATGGTGAATCATCATTGGAAATGCTAGGCTTAGGCTTCATCTGGGTCTGGGTTATTGGACCATAATCTTCAGAAATATGAGGAGCCCATGACATAAAGATTGCTCATCACAAGGACTTAAAGGGAAATTTCACTAGTTTTGCAAAACTGCTATATAAATCTGTTGTTGAATCAAAGTCATTCAGTAAACAAAGTCATTCAGAGTGCTCAGATGAACTTTGTGAAATGGGTTATTGTAGAGACACTTACCATTTCAGACTTTTTACAGTGGTGATAAGAACCAGGGGTCATTATGTTTACCATGCAAATTGTAGCAATTTTATTAACTATCCAAAATGTCCACCATTCTGAGTTTTTATTTGAGTAGATTCATAACCATCTCAACTTTCTGTGAGGGAGCTTTTAAAGGCATTAACCTTTTCAACTCCTTGAGACCACCAGTGGTTCCAAAACACACTTCGTCATATTCTTCATAACTTTCATATTCCATAAGCTACATTCAAAAGGAGGGTGTCATATGAGAGCTGTAACTGTCTTCTTTCCAGTCAAATAGATGGATAATGTAATTTTAAACCCTTATAATAAAAGAAGCTGAACTCACAATTTTTTTTGTCTACTGAAAGTCGACCCATTTTTCCACAAATCTGGGGTATAAACTCTAAACAGATGGTGTCTCTTCAGTGATATACTCTGTAAAAATGATTTTTATGAAATAATACAAAGAGCGTCTAAGAGTTTTGGCTTTCAGCAGTAAATTGTAAGCATATAGCAATATGTGTATGATCATAAAACACATGTTCTGTTAATTTGAGGGGAGCTTTAAAAATAAATAAATGAATAAATAAAATAAAAATTTACATTTATTTCACACAGTTACTGAATAATTTGCCTTACGATTTGGTCATGTAAATTCAGATGGACAAACCAAAATATACCCTGGTCAATAAGAGGTTTACTCTTCAGACATCTGGTTCCTATCACCACCACTGTGAACAATTCTGATTCTATAAGATTCTTTAGAATGGACCATTTCACATCAAACCACTCTGAACATCTTTGTTTAATAATTAAACTCTGAACAACTCTCTTAATAATTAAATCATGCAGCACAGTGTGCCTTCAAATAGACTGTTAAAGAACTTCAGATCACAGTGTGTTTTTATCCCTGATTACTTTTGCTACCTACAAGTCATGCAGGGCGATACTCCGAAGATTTGCAGTTGTAAACGAGCGTGAAAGCTTTACCTCGATTAATGCCGCTGAGCCACTCGTCTGCAGAGAGTGCAGGTTCTGTTCCTGGAGTCATGGGGTAGATGTCCTCCTGATACGTCTCCGACTGCAAACAGCACACTCTAACTTAAAACATGCCTGCACTCAGAAAGCTTAGAACTGGCTCTTGTACTTTTTTATTTGATATATAATAATTTGATATTAATTAAATTGACTCATTTTTAAAACGTAAACTGTAACAGCATTGAAAGAATGTAATTATCCCAAACGTTACATCAGCCAAAGTCAATCAAGTCAAATAAAGAAGAATGAATTGTGTATATTAGGCTTGTCTTTTACCTTGTTTTACTCACCATCTGTGTGTGTCTTTCCTCCTAGGCTATCTGCTTTATCATGCTCCCTGTTGCTGAGTGTGGTTCTAGACTAACAGGGCACTACAGTGTTCACTTTTAAACCAACTCTAGTAAGATAAGTTAGACCAACATAAGTCAAATCAACACTAGTAAATCGTTTAGTAAGTTTAACGAACTTGAATGAGTTGAGTTGGAAATTTGATAGTGGATTAACTTTGGTAATTTAAATATATTAAGTTGGATCAACAGAACTGTCTTAATTTGAAGGAAAGCCACTTAATTGTGTAGAAATAATGTCCATTTTTTTAGCTAAAGAATGTTTTTTTGAGTATGTAAATATGTGTCATTAACCTTTACATAGTGCAGAGTTCAATGGCTTTCTCTCAAGCCAGTTGGAACAGCTGACAAATTAATATATCACAGAACAATTACATTTTCAGTGAATGCTACCGCTTCTCTCTAAGATCTATCGAGTTTTCACAGAGAAGGTCATGGTGCAATGACACTCCGCTAGGTGCTAAAACGTGATGATTTTCCTCCTGGAGCGGAGGACGTGATAAGGCCTAAGAGGACACATTTCAGCGCAGTGGGTAGGCTATATTTATTCCTAGCTGCTTTTGAATCTGTGCAGTAATAAGACAGGTTACCACTCCCTGATGAATGTGAATGTGTTTGTGTGCATGTGTGAGATGAGCGTTACCCTAACATTAGCATCTCTGCATGTGTAATGATCAGAGAGTGAGACAGGCTCTCAGAGTCAGAGTAATTACATAGCAAGTGCTTGTTCCTTGCGCTAATGCAAACAGGCATAGCATAGCATTCATAGCCTACCCTGTATGCTCCTATGAGGTGTCAGGCATTTACACTCCAGCCAACATGTTCAGAAGTGGGTGATTTTACTCTGTTACAGCAGATGAAGGGCCAGCTAAAGGTAGATTTAAGGTAAATATGATGCTTAGTAGTGCTTACTGCTAGCAATCAACGAGTCTTGTGTGGTCTGGAGGGCCAAGGTAATACAGATGCACTCATTCTAAACAGGAAGAAAGGACTACATGATTTTTTTCCACACAAAATTCACCAGACATATGGCAGATCCCTAACCTTGTTAATGAACTAAATAATACTATATGATCTGTGGATAAGTAAGATATACAGCAACAAGCTGTAATTTCATTTGGAGGCATGTGCTTTGATGTTGACCTCTTGAATCTTGAGATTTTTATTATTCAGTTATCAAAGGGGCCACATTTGTCTTGTATTTTATTTTTCCCCCTGAGGTCCACTTATGATATTTGTGTTGTAATTCATTTTTACATGGCCATTGTCCAACCTCTCTTTGCTTTAAATAAAACAGTTTATTACTGTCCCCTGAAGGTTGATACAGTGATATGCAAAAGTTTAAAAACCCCCAGTCAAATTACAAATTTTAACATGTTGGGGAAAAAACATTGTGTATGTGTGTGTATATTTAACTTTTGTTAAATTCAGTACATAAACAGTAATTGTGCATTAAATGTGCAGGATTTTGCTCTCAACAAAACTTGTAATTTGAATAGGGGTGCCCATTTTTTTGCATGTGACTGTATGTTATGATTGGCTGCCCTGTATTTTACCTCATTCAAAAAGTAGTTCTGTCTGAAACACTCCTTATAACTTCAACCTAGATGGATGGGGCTAAACTGTTGTAGGCTTAGTAGGTAAATAAAAGTGCATTGGTTTTCATAATATCACAAAAACAATGAATTCAAAACAGTTTTTGCAACTTGGTTTCCATATATGGATTTTATGGACTGGGCAGTGATTGACCATCATGTTTTAAAACTTTATGTTTACACACTATTAGACTCTTTTATGTCATGAATGCAAGGAAATTTTATTTTCTGCATGATATGGGCTGTTTAATCTTGTGCTTTATTTTATTGTAACTACTGTGAAGCTAACGTGAAATTTCTGGGCTAAAGGGTTTCTGTCTACTCTGTCTATTACTATATTTTTACTCCTACTATCTATTTCACCTGAACGTGTACAGTATTGCACAGAATGAATTTTGTGCATGTAAATAAATACTTGGCTACTAAACGATTGTGATTCTGATTCATCTTACATTGGTGCAATGTATTACTTTATGATATGATGGGAATCTACATGAAATTTGCTAGAATGGATGCAAATTCAGGCACAAATATACAAAAGTATAACTTTGTCTTAAGGGTGGAAATGCCTGGCATTACTTTGCCCTTCTAAAAGTCAAAACCTTTCCATAGAGTTCTGTACAGCGTGTATAGTTCTCAATGTTCTCTCCCTGAACCATGGAAAGAGCTGTTAATGCCAGTTTGTGACTGATCTCATGGTGGTTTGGCTTGTGCTCACCCTCCTTGGCACGATCATGGAGATGGGCTCGATCAGTCCTTTCAGCGTCACCAGCTTATAGAACCTAAAAACTTCACAAGCTCCCACGTCCAAGCCATGTTTGGGCATTACACCTATGGTACAAAATAGGACGCTGTTAACATGTTTATTTCATCAAAAACATGATAAGTATTTGTCTTTAGACTGGGCTAATATTGTCTGCTACTGAATCAAACTGCAGTCCTACTGTAAAATCCTTTTTAAAGAAAATAAGTATTCAGACCTTTGATATTTATAAGGATTATGTCATGATCTACTTAAACTCATTATTAATTGAGATAGTAATAAACTAAAAACATACAAAATTATCATTTATATGATTTTTTCTATTGGGAGGTGTCTGTCTCAAACCCTAACCCCTAAATTTCAACTTGTGAAAATAATTTTTGAATATTTTTTTTTTTTTTTAAGATCATTTAAATTATTTTAAAGGGAAGTTGGAAGTTATAGATTTATCATGAGTTTTATTTTTAAATATTTAAAAAAAAAGGTTACTCAAAATATGCTGTCCCACGTTTTCATATCACTACCGAAACACAGAGCTTTGGTCCTTAGGTGGAGCTATTTTAGCCATACCCTTGCAATTTAGAGCAGGAAGTGAGACTGTATCCCTGTCCCTCATGGTCACATGGTGAAAAGTTAGATCATTAGTTTTGAAGTAAATGTGGCCTAAAGTCTGAAAATCAGTGTGTAACATTAAGAATCGACTTTATTCACTACAGAAACACACATTGTCTTCAACTGAGTGGATGTTTTTGTGTGCTAATGAAAAATAGTAGGATTTTATGTGTGTTTTTATGTCATTTTATGTGTGCAAGCTGTGTTTGCTAGTCAAGCTAAAACAGTCACTGTTGAAACATTTGGTAAAGTTTTAGTAGTGTTATGATCGTTTTGGTCGTGACAGTAATGGTAGTGATGGAATGTTCAAAAGAATCAAAAGTCTGAAGTCCAAGTCATTTAAAAGTCTGATTTTTTTTACATCTGACGTTGAACTGATTGGGTAGAATGATCCATGTCAGTAATAACATGGACATCAGCTCTGTGCACTGTGGTTTGTTATTAAAGATTCTTATTGGTCCACAGCAATATTTTCCACTAGTGCTTCTAATGTTCGGTGGACTATTGAGAAGCCAAAGTATTTGAGCCTACCAAGTCCTTTCTGAGGGGCAGGGGACCTGAACTCCATGAGGTACTGCAGATATGGCTTCTCCGTAGTGACCTCATAGTAGCGGATGTTTCCATCACCCTGAAATTACACTCATGTTGCTCAGAGGAACAGCTACACTTACAATTACAGCGTGAAATAAGAGTATCCAAATACTGAATGCATTCTTCTGTTTCTATTAGATGGAAATATTTGATCCAATTTTGTTCCTTAACACAGCATGCATGTTTAATCACAGCACAACAATTGTTTTTAGATGCATGCATAATGCATCCGAAAAACACTTTAATGAAGACTCATGAGCTACTGGTACATCAGCAAAATGAAGGCATACAAATGTTTTCATCATTTTCATGAGTACAGAATATTACATCAACACAAAGCAAGTAAACAGAAAGACAATATAGCCTTGATGTAATCATGTAAAAATGATGGACACATTTGAATTATGCAATTATGTATTGCTTTTTGTTTTACTACTTACCTTGCCCGCAAGATACAGCATATGTGTGTCTGCATCATAGAAAGGGAATAGGAGCCCCGACAGGCCATCTATCTCCTCCTCTATGATTGGCATGGACAGATCTTCCTGAGGATCAGAGATATAATAATAATATTAGTGAGCTTAGTAGGCTATAGAAGCATATATCTGCACCATGCAAAACAAACAAGACATTGGTAAAACTGAAAATTTAGCCACTGACTTTCATTGAATTTCAAGCAAATACCTGTAGCAATAAAAAAAAGGCTAATGCTATTGAATATATCAGTACAAGTAACAACCATTTTGATCAGTAAATGAATGTTTTAATAAGTTATACAATAAAATGGACTTAACTGAAAAATAACAATCAATTTATAGCCATTCAATGATTCCAAATTTTTTTAGAAAGATTTTATTAAATATATGGTACTGTGCAAAAGTCAGAGACCATATTTCAGTTGTTTAACGTCCATTAAAAATGGCTATGAAGTGCAAGTTAATTTTTCAGTGTCAGGAAAAAAAGCAGAAAACATAACAGAAAACAGTTTAACAGAAAATTATGCAAAGGACTCTAACTAATTAACTAGTTGATATATATATTTTTTAAAAATTTACTGTGTCCACCTTTTGCCCCTATTACAGCTCTTACTCTTTTTCAGGAGATTTGCTTTCAGTTTTTCAAAGAAATCTGCAGGAATATTTTTCCACACCTCTGAAGTTCAGTCTTAGAAGTTGGTTGTATTTTCCACTTCTCATAGTCCAAGTACCAAACACATTCAATAATGCTGAGGACTGGACTCTGGGGTGGTCAGTTCATTGTTCTGAGAACACCAGAGGCTTCTTTGTTTGATTTGTAAATGTTCTTCTTTTTTATCTATTACCTTTTCTCATTAATAGTGTCTTGACAGCTATCGCTAAAAAATGAAAGCGTGAAGAAATGTTTATCTGACAGCAACAGTCTTGGTGGTCTACAAGGTCTTACACAGTTGTTAGGAGTCCTAATTCTGTGATTGATATAGTGTAGTGGGTAACACCTCTGCCTTCTACGCTGTAGACTGGGTAAGCACCCTACACTATACCAATAAGAGTCCTTGGGCAAGACCCCTAACACTATCCTCGCCTACCTGTGTAAAAAATGATCAAATTGTGAGTCACTCTGGATAAGAGCATCTGCCAAATGCCATAAATGTAAATGTAATTTCTCTACATCTCCCAAGAATCTTTGAACTTTGACTTTCCCACTTCCTATATATATATAATTGAGCAATCAAATTATTGAGGCAATTGTGACAGCCCTAGACCAGACAGAGTATTTCAGTACAAACCATAATAACCTTCATTGGTGAGAAAACTTTAGAGGCCTGTAGACACCAGGGACTTCATGTATTTATGGCAGGTCTAGCTTTGTGCACTGACTCAGCCTATTCTCAGTTCAGGGATTTTAACACATACATACACACTCACACAGATACACACATACAAACACTCTCTGTGAAGCAGGGGTGTGTCCCCTCACCTGATCCCACAGCGCAATCTGTCGGGTGTTCCAGCGGGACACCCCTGTCGTCAGGAGGCGCTTCATGTTGCCCAGGAACACCACACGGTTTACCTTGTGGTTCTTACAGTTTGCCTCCTGTAAAACACAATAAATACATCTCAGGAAAAAGGGTAATGAGAAATGTCAGCTTTTAGATCCTGGGTCTTCTCTCAATGATGCTTGCTTCCCAAATTTGTCTTAAAGTCCTTCTGGGCTCTAAGCTGTCTCCATCTTTCAAATGCATCACCAAGTATTTACTCATAGTTTACTATGTCTCTACTCATGGTGCTTTTTAGAAGGAAGAGGCTTTTTAGGTCAGGATCCAGTTCATTTTCTTGCTTGCATGGCTGCAGCATGTTACGTTTCCCTGCCAATTTGTTTCATATTTGGCAACCTGGAGTGTCTAAATGGTACTGGGACATGGGCAGTGGGTGGGATCACAGGCCAAAACACAAACAGATTTTCCACTCCGGAATGGAAATTTCAAAGGAGAACATACTGGCTGTTTCACTGTTGCTGGAGAAGCCAGTATTTCAACTTAGCATGTTCCCTTAATCTCTGATGACTTATCATGATCATATTATGATTTAGTACAGTAAATATATCACATATTGTTCCTTTAAACACAAGCATATATATGTATATATTGAAATAAAGCAGAAATTGCATATAAGGAAAATACAGAGTATCACAATTTTATAACAATCAGAACAAAACAATGGCATTATTTAAAACTGCAACATACAAAGTACAATATATGTTAATATATTGTTTGTTACAAATTTCACATCAAATATATGGAATGTTTTTTCCAAGTTTCAAATGTGTTCACTCTAGAAAAGCCCAAAATATTCAGGTGCACCAGTGTTAGCTTAGTGCTAGCATACAATTAGAAACCCCACAGAGGTGTTTAGTAGAAATTAACATTATTGTGTAGATTTTCTTTTTTGTGATTTTTGACAGTTTTGACATATATGGCCCAAAACTGAAGGTCTAGGTCTAATAGTCATTGTTCACCACTGCTGAAAATTAAGTTTAATAATCATAATAAAATTAATAGCTGAACAATATGCAAGGGATTAGCCAAGAGGCTAATAGGAAAGAAGTTTCTCTAATAGAAAGGAGAGGGTATGAACAGCAAAATTCAGAGTGGATGAAAACAAAGGTACCACAGTCTTACAAACCTGCATAAATAAGACATAAAACATCTTCCAATTATAATGGACTATTCCCAGCTGAATTTAATCTCATGGTATCAACTAATAGCACCTGCTACATCTAGTTAGCCCATGTACAGAAATGCTTTTAGTGTAGTCTTCTTGAGATAAGTGTAAGCTTCATAGACAGTCTGTTGGACCTTTGGAGATTCATTCCAATAGAGAAGTGACCTATGTGAGGAAACTGAATTATTAAAAGCTGGAGGTGACCTTTAGTAAAATGTGAAGGCAGGTCAGGGCTGAGGCATTGATTTGTGTAGCTCTTTGAAGAGACTGAAGGATCATGTTCAGTTCAAGTAGGAAACTTTGTCAAAGAGTTAGACTGGCCTACTATTGTCTGTTCCTTCTCTTTCCTCCTGTGCTTAAAGCTTTGATGGCACTGAGTGACAGAGAAAAGGTTGGGAGTGGAAACCATAATGACCTCCACTGGGATGCGATCTTTAGAGGGCGATAGACACCAGAGACTTCATGTAGAGACAGTACGATGCTAAATGAGATCTTGCCTCCTTGTTTTTTTGGAGTCTGCGCAAGTTGTTATGTCTCGGTAGCTGAAGTTCTCACCTGCAACACCTGACCAGAGCGAGGTTCAATGACCCGCAGCTTCTTGTCCTTGCAGCTGGTGGCCAGCAGGCTTCCTTCAGTATTGAAGGACATGCAGAGGATAACATCCGTATGGCAGTCAATCATCTTCACCGGCTCTCCAATCTCCAGGTTCCAGATTAAGATCTACAGTGTAAAATCATGGCTGACATTAACTTTAAGCTTTAAGAATTGTATCAATTTTTCAATTTTTCTGCATTAATAAATTGTTAAGGTATAAACAAAGACAGTCAGAGTGGTTCACATGAAACAAGTACGAATATGTTTCCAGATGCCTGACACATTGTTTTTGATAGTAAGATTTTGGCCTATTTTTAAAACATATTCGTGGTGGAGACGTACATGTAATTTTTATTTTTTTTCAATCTTAAACTATTTATTTGCAGATAAATGTATAAAATGTTTCTAATAAGCTAGTCTTGTGGAAGTTCAACAAAAAATTACTAAATTAGGAACTTAGGGGAAAAAATAACTATATAGCAGCAGTGTAGCATCAAATATGATATAATAATATTAATAATAATAATATAATGATGTGTCACTGATGTCTTTTACTTTAAAAGCAGTAATCAAATCAAGATAAATGATTATATAGTATATTGGTGCACTTTTAATGTAATGTATATTCCATTAAAATGTACACCACATGTTTTATCAAGAAGTTATTAAATTGTAAATATTAAATAAAATGTTCCACAATTGGTGAGCTATTTAGCCCTGATGACTTTCAAATATTAAACCTTTTTTTATTATGATTCAACACATCTAAGAAAACATGCATTTAACCATTTCATTTAGAAAATAAACAAACAAGCAAACAACAACAACAAAAACAAAAAAAAAAACATTAATCCATCTAAGAAACAGAACCTCATTTTTTTTTACTAAATGAGATCTAGCCTCCTTGTTTTTAGAGTCTGTGTAAGTGGTTACATTTCTATATATATATTTCTACATGTTATTATATTATGTAGGTGATATGAGAACGTTACATACATTTTATGGATTTTCTATGGATTCTATGTATTACTTAAAATTCATTTTTTAAATTATTTTCTTTCAGTCCATAATTTTTGACCGTGTACGTCAACATCACAATATCACTGAAATAATGAAAATATAATATATATATGTATATATATATATATATATATATATATATATATATATATATATATATATAATGAGAGAACTTATTTTTCCTCTTCCAATGATGAAAATTCTGTTGTGGAATTTTCCAGGGGCACTAAAATGTACATTTTGTACATCCAAAATGATTATTGTTAAAATTAAAGTTAATGTTAAAACATAACATAAGTTATTTATCTGAAACATGCACATGGGTTGTTGTGAAGGACACCTTACTTATGTTTGAAATGTCTTCTACCTTTATATACGCATTTGTACATATACTTTAGAGGCATCTCAACTATGGAATCACCCAAAACATCTAAATATTCAAATTTACACTGTAAACATTATTGTGTGCCAAAAAAAAACAAAACATATTAATGTGGCTAGTGGTTTTTCAACTTGTAAACAATAGTGTATTTTTAAAAAATGTGAGAGGAAAACAAACTTGCAGGATGTCAAAACTCTTAAAGAATTATTTCAAGTAAACATAGATGGATCAAACAGTAAAGACAAGCATTTGGCAGTGTTGGAGATACTCTTGTGACCTTCGTATTACCTTGTAGTCATATCCAGCACTGAAGAGGATGCCGCTGCTGGTGGGATGCCATTCTATAAGGCCCACTCGCCTACTGTGGCCATACAACTCCAGTATGGCTTCAGTCATATTTCTCCTCAAACCACCATCTGGAATCTCCCATATTCTCACCTAACACACACAGATGCAGAGTGAGATCATGCTGGAATTCCTTCACATTCATGCTGAAAACATACTTTAAATTTCCTAAAATCAATCAGTCAGCAAATCCATGATGAATTGTCTAAGAAAACATTTAAAATTCCATTTTAGTTTGTTCAAAGCACACAAAGAGAGAGCAGAGAGGTACAGTGCCCCCCACAAATATTGGCAAATCATGAGCAAAATAAGCTGTAAAAATATTCCTAATTACTTATTCTTTATCATATTTCATTCAAAATATTAGCAGAAAATCTAACTTTTATTTAAGGTATAATACTTCAAAGAACATTTTTCAATTGTGTTTCAATTGTATTCCACAATTATTGACACCCTTAGAAATTCTTAAGAGTGAAATCTAACCAAAGTATATTCCTGTTCAGATTTTCTGGGGTTTTTTTTTCCGTGCACCTGAGTGATTAGGAACACTTAAATTGTCAGCCGTGGCTTCTTGTTTCACTGTGGAATATATATGAGATGAAACACAGGCCAAAAGCCCTTACTCAACCCTCAATATGAGAAAGACCAGAGAATAGAGTAATGATGTATGACAAAAGGTTGTTGAGCTGCGCAAATCAGGAAATGGCTACAAGAAAATAACTAAACAGTTAAAAATGTCCATCTACACTATCAGAGCAATAATTAAGAAGCTCAAAACAACTGAAGACCTTAAGAATCTGCTGGAAAAGGACGCATGTCTATACTGACCCTACACACAGTGAGGAGGATGGTTTGAGTGGACAAAGAATTTCCAAGGATCACAGATGGGGAATTGCAGACATTAGTTAGGTCTTGGGGTCAGAACACAAACATCACCTATATAATCACATGTTGCTTGAGGGGGAAGGAGGCCAACCATTACTGGAACTTTCAATGGGACTGTGTTCTGTGGTCAGATGAGACCAAAATAGAGGTTTTTGGCAACAAACACCAGAGGTTGGTTTGATGTGGACACAAAGACAGTCATACAGAAAAGTAGCATATCCCCACTGTGAAGTATGGTGGTGGATCTATGAAGCTGGGGGGCTGTTTTTCTTCCAAAAACCCTGGAGATTGTTTTCAGATACATGGTATCACAGACTCCATCAAGTACCAGCAGAAATAAAATCACAACCTGACTGCCTCAGCCAGGAAGCTTAAACGGGGCCATAGTTTTAATCTTGGAGCAGAAGAATGATCCAAAGCACGCCTCAAAATCAACACACAAATGGTTCACTGAAGACAGAATTAAGGTTTTGCCATGGCCACCCCAGTCCCCTGACCTAAACCCCATAGAAAACCAGGGGAAATGAGCTGAAGAGGAGAGTCCACAATGTGGACCTCAGAATCTGAAGGATGTGGAGAGGTTGTATATGGAGGAACGGTGTCAGATCTCTTGTCATGTGTTCTCCAGCCTCATTAAGCATTACAGGAGAAGACTCAGAGCTGTTATCTTTGCATAGAGAGGCTGCACAAATTATTAAATCAAGGGGTGCCAATAATTATGGCACACACAGATTTGAGAAAAATATTTGTTTCTTGATAAGATTTAGTTTTTTTCAGTCATTATACTTAAAAAAAGGTTGGATTTTTGTTAAAATTTTGAATAAAAGGTCAAAAGGACAAGCAGCAAAGAATGTTTTTAACAGCCTGTTTTGCTCATGTTTATTAGGGGTGCCAGTATTTGTAGAGGGCACTGTATCTACTCATCTATCTCTACATAATTTATGCTAGACTACATTTGTCAGCTTTGTGCACTCTACTCCAGCAGCGAATGCAACAGCAAAATAGCAAATAATCTATGCAGGCTGATGCATGGGGATTTGAGAGGATTACAGTGGTAATATGGAGAGCTTATCTTTTTTCAGAGCTACTGGCCGAAAATGACAGACTAATACGTGTACTGAGGCTTTGTGACGACAACATGCCCAGTTCTCTAGTTTTAGCTTGGAAAGATGATGGTTTCGTATTATTCCAGTTGATCCGCTGGTTTGTGAGGCAAATTTCATTCGATGTGTTACATTAAACATGTTTCTTGGTGAAGTATGTTACGCTTGGGGTCCTGTAGACTCCAGACTCTCTTTAAAAGATCCAAAAATGTATTTAACATGTTTTATCTTAATACCCCATGCAAAATAAACATGACTTGCTATACATTCAGAAAGGACAAACATGAGCATGTATATTTTTTATATGTGAATATAGATATAGATATAGATACATTTAAAACACATTTTTTTCTTTAAAAGTGTACACCAAATATTAAAGCACATTAAAAAATGTCTTTGTGGATCATTTTGCCTGCAGTTATATCTTTGATAATGTATTCAATAATCTTGAAGTACATTTCTGGCATTAATATTTTGTTGCTGACAATTTAGACTCACTTTAAATGACCTTGAATTGTCTGAATGGTGCTCAGTAAATTGATTTGCATGGTAATTACTGTAATTTCACTCACAGAAGAGTCTTCAGAACAGGAGGCGATTATGTTTTCATGGAAAGGGTTCCACTTGATGTCCAAAACGTTGCCTTGGTGACCACATACTTTCGGGTGGTGAGGGTCAATGCGGCCGGACTAGGAAAGAGAAACAAATGTATGTTAGTCTTATGAAGATCATTTCTCTCTCTCTCTCTCTCTCTCTCTCTCTCTCTCTCTCTCTCTCTCTCTTTGAAAACATATACCTCTTTAAAATGTCACTTTCATCAATCAAATCAACAGCATTAATGCATCTTTTGGGATTCACCTCACTGACAGTGAGACATACTTAAGCACAAGTAAACAAAATGTGGCTTTGCTTCACTGCAGTGCACTGTAACATCCACAGAGTGGAGCTGCTCCACAGCGTTCAGAACCCACAACCTTCCCAGAATGCCAGAATGTCGGTCATGATGCCATGAATGTTTGATGTCACTTAAGTCCATTGACCTCCTTCTGTGTTCCTCTGGGATTTGTAGTTTAGGTTGTGCATGAGTGCACACTGATGGAGCCTGTTACTAAGGCGTCTCCATCACTGAGCTCTGTCGTAACCAGAGACTCCAGCGCAGGGCTGTTAGTGATATATGCAGAGGAAAGTTGATTGTTTTGGAGAAATGTTATAATGGAAAACATCATACATTATGCATTAAAGTGCATGTAAACCTGTAACCTGTGTAGGGCGACTACACCTTCTCTAATACGACAAAAAACAACTAGTCTATTACAGATTCTAATTATTCTCAGGTGACTACTGTCTGCCCATATTCACATGACAACAAGAAAATCATATCAGTATTTTTTTCTTCATGATCGAGTACAATTAGCACACGCCCTGCTCGAGGGCACTTCAATTTTAGAGAGTTTCACAGAATAATAATGTTAAATTTCCGCTGATTTCCCACAGGGGGTCAGATCCAAATGGAAAAGACAATTAATGACAAGAAAAATTGAAAGAATAGGAAACGAAAAGGCTCACTTTTAATACTTATGCCTATTGGAACTTATCTGTTGGACACTGTCCTAAAGAACTGCTATTAAGGAATGGAATTCATCAAATGGCACAATTTAAGCAGCCACTTATAATAAAAAAAACACATTATCTCTCATGGTTTATTTTTTATGTTGTTCAATGATTGTGTGCCTTGGCTGCTTAAACTGAGGTGTGAGGTGCAAGACAAAAGATTCTCATCCAGCTCTAATGACATCATCTAGCAACAGAAACAGAGCACAGTCCCAGTGGAGACACTTCCAGAGAGGATGCCTCCCCCGCTGGGCCTAAACTAGCCAAAACACAACAACCCGACAGAAACACTACTTACATTCACGGAAAAGTACAGTAGTATAACCATTTAACCACCCAATAGGAATTAAACAGAACATCTACTGACAAATGCTGACACCATAATACTTATACATATAAATACATACAAATATAAACAATTGTAAGTATGTAAATGTAAATATTGTGCACTATATGAGGGGTCATCAGTCTTATCCACAAAGGGCTTTAGGTTTTCCAAGCAGGAGCACACCTCCTATAACTAATCAGCTGTTGGGAGTCTAAAACCCACTGATTAGTGGAATAATTCTGCTTGATTGGAACGAAAATGTGCAGCCACACTGTCCCTTTGTAAATAAGATTGGTGACCCCTGTGAGTATATATATGAAAGAAATATGATCATTGCTGTTGGAACGAAACCAACAATTCTCCATTTTTGTTGTTTTATATTATTTGAAATATATACCACACTTTGATGGTGAACGCACCAACAGACACATTAACTCACATTGAAAATTATTATTATTTATTTATTTGATCTTTTTGGCTGGTGAGTTCTGATGCACCAACAAGAAAATTATTCAATACTGAAACAGAAATTCAGGACACAGTCTGCGGAAAAACCAAAACCAGAAAGAAAGTTGTTTTATATATAATTTGTCATTTTATTTATCCTTTTGAATTAACGAGATAATGCTGAAGATGCTTCAAAAGTGATAATGTTGGGAACTGAACTGACAGAACTAATTTAAGTCTAAACAGCTTGATAAAATTCAATTAATATTAAAAAAAATTAATATTAAAAGTTGTAAAATTAAGTGTAACATTGTGTGGTTTCCCAAAGACATCTGGGCCTCTCCAGTATAACAGCAGAAAACACCTGTTTTCTTAATATGTATAGCATTTAGATGTGGCTTTAGAGCTCCCATCTAGTAGTCTGAAGTTTCTCCAGCAAGGGGTAATATTTATTTTGGTAGTAAAAAAAAAATATTACCAAAAGATGTTGAGTTACTCACTGTTATGTATTTGATCTCCATTATAGCATTTAATTAAATCCATTAATGCTAAAAAGCATGAAAGCTAAAGACCATATAGAACAGCTGCAGCACCGTGTTTGTATTTCACTGTTGATCTGCTGCTGTTTAAAACAGCGCAGGAGAATGAAGAAAACAAACAGCATTTTAAATCACTGTTTCTCATTTTCATTAGGATTCATTTGCAATTCATTGTACATCTATTTAATCTTTTGCTTTTTCTGTCAAATTTACAGCCTTTTCTCTGTTATTTGGCGGAAATTTTTGGTGGATGAAATTTTGATGCATCCCTATCAGCAAGCTCATTACTTAATTTAAATTCAGAGACAGACAAACTTTTCTGACAGACTATATGTGAAATCAATTCCACACAGTTTAATGGGACTCATACAATTTCAACAGCATTGCAGAATGAGAATATATATACTGCATAAAAGTGCACAGAGCTTAGGGCGGTGGGGGGGGGGGTCAACAGGACAGGGTGGCTGGGGGGCTGGCAGGAAGTAGAAGTCTGAAAGGATGCTGTAGGACATAGTGATTTCCTCTGAGAGACCCCAAAATGGGGAGAGGACAAAGGGCCTGGGAGAGATACAGTCTGCTTCTAAATGTGTCTGTGTGTGATTTTTTTTATTATATGTTGATATTTCTAAACAGATGTTTGACATGTTATGCTTTCCTCACTCTTTTATGCATATACATCAAAAGGACAAATTCAATACAGCACCTTACAAACTTAATTTCCAAATACAGTGCTTTAATCCCTTTGTAAGTGTCAAAGCACATATATAAGACGTACGTGTTGTTGCTGAATGTTGGTTCCTGACTTCTCTCTCTTTGAATCCTGGGAGAGGAACATACTCAACCCTTCTCTTTAGTGTTTGGGAAAAAATAGAACTGGAATTAGCCCCTCGTTGTTCTCAAATCCCTGATGTGACTTTAAACTGTCACAGTCAGTTTGGAGGCGTGATCTAGAAAGTACTGTCTATTTAGCCTTCCCTTTCATTAAGAACCAATTTAAGATCCATTAAGGACTTTTGCACTGCAGCATGTAAGCTATCTGCAGTTCACAGAGGCGGAACAGGAATACATTATAGCACAATCTGCATAAAAAGTGCATCTTGCTGGGCTCTTTTATAGTATTAGTAATATAGGCCACATCTGGGATTCCCCGTAAATGTGATTTCTCCTCATTATTCCTCAGTGCATTGTGTTCGATAGGAGAAGAATTTACAAACAATGTAGATATTTACTGAGTTACCAATTTATTTATTACCTTGTAGCTACCATTTTATCAGAAATACCTATCATAAAAGTACACTTTGTAGCCCCCCTCTACCCCATCCATCAGTGAAAAGGCACCACTATAGGGCCAACGGTGCCCAGCTATGATTTGGTTGGGGGACCATTCTCAGCACAACATAACATGGTGTTGTGCAGTGGAGCAATCTAAACAAGCCTTTCATCCCCCTCTCTCTTACTCATCATCACTCCATCATCCTGTAAGACATTCCATCAATCATAGAGAGATAGAGCGATAGAAAGAAAGAAGACATAAAGAGAGATAGAGACAGAAAGATAGTGAGAATGAAAGAGAAAGAAAGAGTGTGAGAAAAGAAGAGAGAATAACAGACAGTGAAAGAAGGAGAAAAAGAGAGAAAGAGAAAGGATACAGAAAGAGAGAGAGAGAGATGCAAAGAGAAAGACAGAAAGAGAGGACAGAGAAAGAGAATGAGAGAGAGACAGAGTGAAAGAAAAAGAATGGGAGCGTGAGAAAGGATATGGGGACAGACAATGTGAGAGAAAGGCAGAAAAGAGAGAAAGAAAGAGTGAGTGTGAGGGAAATAACAAAGAAAGAGAAGAAGAGGACAGTGAAAGGAAAAGAGAAAGGAGAAATATAGAGAAAGTACAAAGAAAAAGTAAACAGCATGAGAGAGAGAGAGAGAGAGAGAGAGAGAAAGAAGAGAAAGAGAGGGAGAGATATAGACAGAGAGAACAAGGAGAGACCGAGAAAGGGAAATAGAGAGAAAAAGTACAGCGTGTGTGTGTGTGTGTGTGTGTGTGACAGAGAGAGAGAGAGGTGACACAGATGTGTTGGCCGTACACCAGTTCGTCCTCTGCTGTTTCGCTCGAGTGAACACCAGACACACTCTTCATCCTGACGGCCGTCAGTGGCTCACAGTCACACACACACAGTTTGGATGCTAATGAATTCAGTTAACAGCCATTATTGTGAGTCGTACAAAGGACTGTGAGGAAAATCTGGGTGATTATAATAATTACAGTGTCACTGGAAAGAGTCTAGACTGCTGGATGGAGAGCAGCGCCAAAAACTCTGTCTGCCGAGGACGATGTCTTCACAGAGACTGTATTTTAAGAGTGAAGCACTTCCTTTGCTTTAACGCAGCCCAACACCATTGACCTATTCATGCTTCGCCCACAAATGTGTTGTTATGTAGCAACTGTTGTGAAGTTAGACAAGCTTTACAGAATGAGCAAGAACCCCATTCAACCTAATGAGAAATTACCGCACACTTTGCCTGCGTTACGCTTCTGAGCTGGACTGCAGCTTGTTGCAGCCAATTGAAACCAGGCAGGTTGGAAATGATAATGAAAATGCTGATGCATGCTGATACATGACAAAGAGCTACATTTTAACCAATAGCAGAGCTTCAGTGGATGCCTAACAGCCGAGACCAACTATGCAGGCAAGCCTAATTAACAATATAGTAATATTATTTGTAAAATAGTAAAATATTAGTTTATGATGATTAAACACATTATGTAC